AATCCATTAGCGCTTAACGTGTTGCAACATGTAGCAACGTGTCGAAAAAAATAAGGACCTTTAAAAAGTAATTCTTTCAAATAAATATTAATATCATGTGTCCTTATGCTACACATCATTTTTGTCTTCTACGCTATGATGATTGGTGCTATCTCAGTAATGTGTGAGTGCTTACTTGATCGGCTACGACGCCGTGTTAGAGATTTATTATTAAGTTTTCTAGAAAAATCTATCAGTATGTGCGTTGCAAAGGTTGACATCCGTGAAGAATAAAAAAAAGGGAGGAGAAAATAAACTTGGTAGGGAACTCTCTATATAAAAAAAGGGAGGGGAAAATAAACTTGGTGGGGAACTCTCTATATATTTTTTCGAGGAGCTCATGCATTCCATCAGTTGCTTCGTGACGACAAGACTCGACGGTAGTTTTTACATATAGTTCGAGATGTATACCATTGGTGCGGAAGTTAAGACCAAACGTGCAAATTATTACTTGCCTATTGAACAGGCTTCACAATGCAAGAAAATAAAGTGTGAAAGGTTAGTATTATTCTCAATTGTTGCTCTCTCTTGTTCTTGGCGATAATCGAGGCAATCATTTGATATTACCACATGAAATCTGGAAAGAAATTATACATAGACGTGCGCACATCGAGCGATATGTGGTGTCACCTAATTNGTTAAGACCAAACGTGCAAATTATTATTTGCCTATTGAACAGGCTTCACAATGCAAGAAAATAAAGTGTGAAAGGTTAGTATTATTCTCAATTGTTGCTCTCTATAATCTCTCTCTTTCTGAGATTTGAATATTTAACAAAAACTTCTCTTAAATTTTTCTTTACAGCGTTTCTACTGAAAAACCACGTATTCCTGCTCGTATCTTAGGGAGGAGATACATGCTGACAACTACATCATATAAATTCTTAGAAATTGGAATCAGTGTAGGACCTGCATCCTACGTGGAACTTGTTCTTGGCGATAATCGAGGCAATCATTTGATATTACCACATGAAATCTGGAAAGAAATTATACATAGACGTGCGCACATCGAGCGATATGTGGTGTCACCTAATTCATCGCCATTATGGATTCGGGATTTGTCGGTGGAATGTCGCATGATGCACGGTGATACCATCATAAAGCTTACATTATTCAACAAGTCGTTGTATTTAAAACCGGAAACATTAAATAACTTATTCAATTTTGTGCAGTGTATTGATCATATGTATTCATGGTTATATGAAAATACGCATATTGTTAATGCTAAGTTCCAAAAATTTGTATGCATTTTGCAACAAAATGATATTATTCGTAAATGGTACGAGTCCAAAACTACTGACTGGTCTTACGCAGCTAAAGTAATACGTGAAAGTGACGATTTCGACAGCGAGTCTCTCGTTGACTGTGAGCTATTGGCGTGCGCCTTGAAACACCTTGTACATTATGTTCTGAATAATTAATAATAAACTATTTTAGATTCCCAAAGATTTTTTTTAACTTAATATACTCCCCCCCTTACCTTTCCCCCTTTAGATGTAAGTGAATGCGGTGGGCTGGGGTCCCGACCGCCACAGGATGAGTCATCTAGGAACGCGGAGTAGATGAAAACTAGAAATATTGTTTTCCATTGTGTTATCCTTTCTGGACGGGGCTTAATATTATTTTTTTCGACAGGGCTTCGGGTTGCTGCTTATGCAGGTACTCCGAGCATTAACCTCCAGGCGGCCGGCACTTAGGAATGTTTCATAATGACACTTTGAGGGATTGCCTCTGTAAAAGTTTTTTTTTTCAACGGATCGTACATATCGATCAAGAGCATTCCAAATGGGATACTTCCAGCCGCCTGGAAGTTAACGGTATGATTTTGGCTCCATCGGCGGCCAGTGCAGATTCTCGTGTCGACGGTCAGTTCAGATTTTCTTGTCGACGTGAAAACATTGCGAGTTGTTCGAGAGTTTAAGTGAACTAAAGGTGAAAAAGGAATTGCAATGGAGGTTATCACCGTCGAGGACGAAGCTGTTTTTAAGGATTTTGTAAGGGTAAGTTTTTCCCTTTTTTTCTTTTTTAAAGGGGGAGTGGTCTTAGGATTAATTCTGTGGTTTTTTTCTAAAATTCTCTTCCCCCTTTTTCTAGATATATGAAAAAGCTTTTCATCTCCGAGGGAGAAGAGATCGATTCGCAAGATTCGACTTGGCGTGCCAGAGGCACTGCCTCAGATTGATGGCTGATGAATTTTAGCTGATCGGTGAAGAGAATTGGGACAACGTGGAGGAGTGGAACACCTTCTGGTATATCGTGGAGGAGATGAAAAGCTTTTTCATATATCTAGAAAAAGGGGGAAGAGAATTTTAGAAAAAAACCACAGAATTAATCCTAAGACCACTCCCCCTTTAAAAAAGAAAAAAAGGGAAAAACTTACCCTTACAAAATCCTTAAAAACAGCTTCGTCCTCGACGGTGATAACCTCCATTGCAATTCCTTTTTCACCTTTAGTTCACTTAAACTCTCGAACAACTCGCAATGTTTTCACGTCGACAAGAAAATCTGAACTGACCGTCGACACGAGAATCTGCACTGGCCGCCGATGGAGCCAAAATCATACCGTTAACTTCCAGGCGGCTGGAAGTATCCCATTTGGAATGCTCTTGATCGATATGTACGATTTCTGCGAACTGTATAGTATCGAATGATATTATTTGCGCGCGCATGGTACGAGTCTGACCCGAGGGTGATTGGCCTCTGGTGCGTATGTATGTATGGATATAATAAAAAAACCATTTTTATTTAAAAAAATTTTTTAATATCCTAGCCCTTACCTTTCCCCATTTAGATTTAAGTAAACACGATATAGGGGCGA